TTCAACTAGAAAAGCTAACATTGAGCAGGAAACAAATAACAACTAGAGTAAACCCCAACACACTAAAAGAAAGATCCAGTGAACAGCTGTTGGACAGCAGACTGTCTGAAAAAGTAATAAACACGCAACAGCTCATGGACACTGGACACTGTACTAAACTGTGCAAAATAAATCGGGGGCCCACAGCGGCGTAACAGAGATCATAAACTGACTGATGAGATGAAAGCACTTTTCAATAAAAGAAGATAAATGAAAACCGTGAGCAACATACATAAAATAGAATACACAGAATTATATAAGACAATAACAAAGATTATTGTAGAAAACATCAAAAACTACAATGAAAAACTTATACAAACTGCAATCGAAAACAGAAAAAGCTCTAAGTACGCAAAGAAATCCCTCATGATCGGAAAGAAGCAGCTAATCGTATTAACACGCAACAACATCAGAATAACAGACAAAACGAAATAATATACCTGGTAAGCGACTAAGCGACTAATTCTACAGCGACCTATATAAAGCTCCAGAAAACATACATGAAAAAGGAAGACTGCTACTATCACAAGACAACGCGACGCCCCAGAAGTTCTCGTCTGAGAAGTAGAAAAGGCGATTCAAGATATGAAAAATGGAAAAGCAGCATAGAACGATGGAATAACAGCTGAAATACTTAAGTACGCTGGCAGAAGAACTTGGAAAATCCTAGCAAATATGTCAAAGCAAATATGAAAAAACGATCCTATCCCGGCTGTCTAAGGAGAAAACATATATCACAAGACTGGAATAGCTCCAACATAATTATAATTCATAAGAAAGGCAGCAAAGAAGACATCAGAAACTATAGACCAATAAGCCTACGACCAGTAACATACAAAATATTCACAAAAATAATAAACAACAGAATACAAAACACGCTAGACGCTGCATAACCACGAGAACAAGCAGGCTTTAGAAGCGGCTTCAGCACGATTGATCAGATACATACGCTAAGACAAACTATCAGTCGAAAAAAGAATGCCAACTTCCACTAGCCATAGCCTTTATAAACTGATGATTTTAGCCACTAAATACGGTGTCATTATGCAATCCTTTTGTGAACTGTTTCTGAAGCATCTCTAACTATACTCCAACAGTGATACCAACTCTTAATCAATAATTAAACTCTCAATAATAAATTAGGCAAGCGATGCAATAAAGTTTCTTTATTGTATTTATTAACATATCAATATAATTGTATATTTAACGAAAAACTACATAAGCCATAATTATAACAATTTTGTTTAGCACAATATACTAAACAAATAACAAAAAAAAATTATGTTAACTTATAACAATGTGCTAATCGTGCATTTGCATGTTTATTCTTAATAAAAATAATTAGCGTGATATTGTGTTAAATAAAGGATACCTTTTAAGACCAGTATTAAAATTAAAGCCCATAATTAAAATATTCATAAAAATACTGTTTTATTTGGAAATTTATTTTTAACAGAGCCTGGTTGAATCCGTCTTGTGCTATGGATGTGAGGTATGGACGGTTAACTCTGATTTGCGCAGAAGACTTCTTGCCACCGAAATGGACTACCTCAGGCGAAGCGCACGAGTATCTAGAAGGGAGTGCGTGCGCAACGATGTGATAAGAAGAAGAGAGAGAAGATCGCTGAAATGGTTTGGGCACCTCATGAGAATGCCAGATGATCGATGGCCAAAACGAGTCTTTCAATGGGTTGCGCCGCAACGAAGGAAACGAGGAAGACCACGACGATCCTGGAACGACGGAATAAGACAATCCATGGAAGCTCGGCAATTAGAGGATGATGATGTCTTTGATAGACTAGCTTGGAGACGGGAAACGGGAAGACTGTATTTTATTTGAAAATTTATACGGGGTGCATCTCAAAAGTGGCTCACCCCTATAACTTTTTTATTTTTTCAGATAAAAAAATGAGATTTGGTACGTTAGTATATGACATAAATTAGGACTGATTAACGCATTCAATTGTTTTCGGTCGCTCAATAACAAATTGTATTATAAATTTTAATCTAGAATGCCATAGCTGTGTTAAAAACACTAATTTTAGAAAGCACTAATTTTGGGAGCCTTGGAAAAATATATTTGGTCGTCTAATGTTTTTAGTGTCTTGTACTGGCGGGTTAAAAGATGCCTAAATCGTATTTTTAATCATATCTCAATTTTTTCAAATGAAACGAGGGTGGCTCATTAGCATATTTTTTACGAATAATAGCATTTTTTACGAATAATTTGATCACACACTTGGTATTTCGAGTCAAATTGTCGTATTGAACTGCATGTTACAATTTCAAATAAACCATGCATATGCGAAAATGTCAAAAGTTGACATATGATATGTCATTCTATTCAGAGTGTCATTTTCATATAGTAATATACCAAATATCGTTGTTTTATCTGAAAAAATAAAAAAGTTATAAGAATGAGCCACTTTTGAGACGCACCCGGTATACCAAACGTTAATACGATTTATGTGCAGCTTGAAAGAAATTATAGAATTAATTCTCAATAGGGGTTATCGAAAAACTTCCTCTAAAATAACTATATGTATATCTAAAATGATAAAATTTATATGCATTCTCATTAGTTTTTATGCCTATTTACAGCCTATTCATGCGACAGCCAGTCGACTTCGCTAGTCTTTGAGCATCCGCGCTTCACCTGCCGCGTCTGTTCTCGTACATATTCAGGCAGTCGCAGCACATCTCAATAATTTTTATAAACGAAGCTTCAATGAAGCTGAGAATATAAAAAAAATATTACATAACGTATAAGATAACCGAATATCTAGATACAGTTCATACCAAATAAACTTTTTGTCACGTGATTAAGCTTGACCGCCACCAGCGTTGCCTACTTTTATATATTTTCTTTTAATCAAAATATTTTAGATAACAAAAATAAATTAATTATGTAAATATATCTTCTTCTTATAGTGCCATACTCTATACAGAGCGTCGGCTACATCTCACATGTACTTGTGATGCGTGTCATCAGTGTTTCACAAGTACACGGGACCTATAGTTTATCGCCGAATCCGAAGGGCACTATTTGAGAGGCTGTACAAGGCAAATATACTCAAGGTGATTTGCCATTGCCTTTCTTGGGGTGGCTGGCGGCTCGCTGGTCGCTCTATTTAGATAAATCAATATTTTTATTTAAATAAATAAAGCGACCGTACTGGCTGAGGATCGAACCCAGTACCATCCCATATCTAGCACCACAGATCGACACACTAACTGCTTGCGCTACGGCCGACCACTTATAAATATATAAACAGTTATTATTTACATCAACAAAATTCACCTTCTTAACAGCACTTAAAAGACATAAAGAACCATTACTACCGCTTTCCCATTCAAAATATTTTAATAAAGTTGCGATGACTTTTTTATGGCTATTAAGCTATCTTGTACACTTAGCACTAAAAGAGGTTCTAAAAGAGAACAATGTTCGACTGCAAGGTCTGCTAGTAAACATTTTCAGCTTAAACTATCACAACACTATTTATTTAAACCAAAAACTCGTAATACAAAATTAAAGTGTCAAAACGAATAACAATGTTAAGAAATAAATAAATAAATGCAAACTTGACAATGGCCACTTGACATTTTTTACAGCACAGCTACCACCTGAATCCCCAGCGCGAAATTTAAATTTTAGTTAGTCAGCACGGCGCCGAATATATTGCGTTGGCAACAATGAACTTAAAAATCGCGCCATCAATTAGGTAACTAAAAGTTTAATTGATATGAAATCATGACCTTGTATCAAAATACAGACGCACTGTCTAATGCGCTCAATGTGGCGCTTTCAATAATAGATATATTTTATTTTGAAATTCACGTTTATAGAAAATATAACAATAAACCAGAAATTAGGAATAATGGAATATATTTTTTCCGAAGACAACCACCTGTCATCCATTGTACAGCAGGGCTAGAACCTGCAATTGCGGCCATTGGCCAAGGAGATTGAATGGAGCTGAGAAAATAGCTTGTTATAAATTATGATAAGCAAATTAGACCCAGAGTTCCATGATGTTGGTAACTCGACTGGCTGTCCAATGAATAAGCTGTGCTAAAAGTTTATTTATTTTAATATTATGCTGTTTGCTTTATGTAATCAGAGCCTCGTTCAAAATACAAATATAGTATATAGTATAAAACACCCTGTATAATGCGCTAAGTGACGCGATGGCAAAAATATTATATATTTTAAATGCCTGTATAAAAAATTTAAAAAAAATTCGTCACAATCGTGGTCCCATATAGTTTATATAAAAATAAACAAAAAAATGAGAAAAATAAATATATCTACCTTATAAACTAAGATATTGTATAACATTATCAAGATTTAATTAAATAGAGTATATTTGTGTAAATTGCGTAAAATAATTAGTTACATCAATAATATCTAATTATTAAGAGCGCATTATGTTTGGACTATATATTTTTAGTCTACATTTCTGATTTATGTAATCAAGACCTTGTGTCAAAATAGAGACGCACTGTCTAATGCGCTCAATGGCGCGCTTTCTCTGTTAGGTATACTTTATTATGAAAATTAGGTTTATAGAAAATATAACAGTAAACCAGAAAGTAGGAATAATCGAATATACTTTTTTTTCGAAGACAACCACCTGTCATCCATCGTACGGCAGGGCTGGAACCTGCCTTTGCTGCCACTGCCGAACGATATTGATTTTCCGAGCAATGCAGATATGTCGAGCGGCGGCGGCGGCGAAAACCGCTACATTTTCCGACATTTTCCCCATCAAGAGACATTCCACCGACCGGTTTATTTTCGTATTATTTCAATTTTCCCATCGCCGACGATGATTTTTTGTTGCGCCGCGACGGCGGACGCCACGACGGCGACGCTTCCTCTCTAGCCGTCCCACCAGTACCTACCGTTGCCTGCCTTAATTTTAGCCCGAATAATTTCACAACAAAATCCTACTTACTTGCCCAGCTCCTCTTTAAGGTCGTAATTGTCGCTGAACCGCGTACAAGCCATCGGAACTGCCATGATACGGTAACAGAGAGCACTGGGTCGCGGGACTTTAAATTTTTCGCTGCCGACAATCGGCGGCCAGCAGGATTTTTAAAGCGCGCACTGGCTCAAACTATGCCACCCGATATACGCCACTAATATCCATTCAACGTTTGCCCGAATTCTATCAGGAATTAGCACGAAAATCGGTTTTTCCTCAATGAAAACCTTACGAGAAAATAGCGAGGATCGCCGTACTGTCGCTGCGTACAAAACGCGAAGTTCTGATCCCCACTAGAATCCGAAATCGCTGTAATGTTCGTCCACTGGGATATAACCTAAAAGATCAATATTGGACTTCGTCTACACGGTGTTTTACGAACACAGCCTGCCGGCGCGACGCTGCCGCTTTGCGTCGGAATTCCTGCTGCGGTTCCTGCGAACAACAATAAATTGATCGTCAGTTCGCGACTAGTTTAGTTCCTGCGTCATTTGCATCAAATATTAATTAAACGGTTCAAACCTCGACTATTTTGTATTCGGTACTGCTACGTAATTTCACTTGTCATTACAGGAAGTTTTTCAGATAAAAAAAACATAATTTAGTATTTATCTATATGACATAAATCAGGATTGACTGACGTATTCAGTTAGTTTCGTTAACTTCCTGTTTCACCGGAAATGACTACAAATTTCTATGTTTAAATGGTAACCCTGGTATATGTTTTACTTTATTTGGTAGAAAATGACGCTCTGAATAGAACGACTTATCATATGTCAAGTTTTGATAGTTTCGCTAAATTGTACTTTAAATTTCAATCTAAAATGCCCATGGCTGTGATAAAACCACTAACTTTTAATCAAGAATCAATAAAAAATAATATTAGGGATATATTTTCATACTATATTTTTTGTCTATATTTTTAATTTATGTATTCAAGACTTGGATCCAAATAAAAACGCAATGTATAATGCGCTCAATGACGCGCTGTCAATAATAGATATTATTACAGTTGAGGGTTGGAACCTTTGGTGTTAAACAGCAAAATAAACACACTAAATCACCACAATACACCAAAACACTTTTACTTTTACACTGGACGCGCGTTTCGCTAACCATGTTAGCATCATCAGCAGATGATTATAAACTGATATTATACCGGGTGCGTCTTAAAAGTGGCTCCCCTCTATAACTTTTTTATTTTTTCGCATAAAAAACGAAATTTTGGTATGTTAGCATATGACATAAAATAGGATTGATTGGCGTATTCAATTCTTTCTGGTCACTTCCTGTTTCACCGGAAATGAGTACAATTTTTAAATGGCACCTTCGGTATTTTTTTACTTTTTTCGATAAAAAAGCAAATGATCTAGCTAGGAAAGGAGCGAACACTCCACTAACTCGACCAGAACCGTTCTGTTTTCCAAGCGGAAACCAGCTGAAAGCGGAACTGAAGAATCTGGAAGACTCCAACCGCAACTTGGAATCGGTGTCCTCCAACGGTCTAAGACACTCGAAAAAGTTCCTCAGAACCTACGACCGAGAAAAATCAAAGGTTTTCCTTGATTTAAGTAAAAACAATCTTCGGATTGTCACGGGGTTCCTAACAGGACACTGTCTCCTCAACGAACACCTCAGTAGGCTGAAGCTGAGAAACAACGGCGAATGCAGATTCTGTGGGGAATATGGGGAAACACCAGAACACCTCATCACTGAGTGCGCCGAGACGACGACCATTCGTGCCATGAACTTTGGTACGGCTGATGTCAAGGATGGAGAGCTGGCCTCTATGGAGCCGTCTCAGATACTGGCTTTTGTTAAAGCCTTGAGACTGTATGATGAGTTATAACTGGTTATAGCTCAAGAAAGGGGAACACACAATAGATCTTTAAGGTCGCGGTGACTAACTCCCCTCCTAAACATTCTACATTCTACATTCTACTTTTTTCGATAGAAAATGACATTCTGAATAGAATGACATATCATATGTCAACTTTTAACGTTTTCAGATATTGTTTATTTGAAATTGCAACATGCGATTCATAACGACAATTTGACTCGAAATACCAAGTATGTGGTACCAAATTATTCGTAAAAAAATGCTTTTTCCGAATAACGAGCCACCCTCGTTTCATTTGAAAAAATTGAGATATGAATAAAAATACGATTTGAGAATCTTTTAACTGGCCAGGAGAAGACACTAAATACATTAAACGATCAAATCTATTTTTTCAAGGCTCCTTTATTTAAATTTAGTGTTTTTAACACAACCATGGCACTCTAGATTGAAATTTAAAATACAATTTTGTTTTAATAGAAAATGTCAAAAGTTGTTCATATGATATGTCATTCTATTCAGAGTGTCATTTCTATCTAATAAAGTAAAAAAATACCGTTGCCATTTTAAAAATCAAAAGTTGTAATCATTTCCGCTGTAACAGGAAGTGGCCGAAAAGAATTGAATAGGCCAATCAATCGTAATTTATGTCATATAGGCCTACTAACATACCAAATCTCGTTTTTTTTTATCTGAAAAAAATAAAAAAGTTATAGGGGTGAGCCACTTTTGAGACGCACCAGGTATACCGTATGAATGAATAAAAACGGTGTCCAGATTGCTTGGAAATGACGATCGATCGTTTCTTTTTTCGAACATATTGTTTTTTATTTGAAATCTTGTGAATAGTTAAAATCAATTTAAAAATAATTCTTTTATATTATTCTGACATTGTCTAAGAAAAAACTTAAGTTCTAAATTTCATAGTAAAATTTGCATTTGTTGCAGAATGCTTTGGAATATCAACCCGACGCACGACGCAACTGTTTTAATTTCATTTCCCACAGTGCAATTAAATAAATTTACTTATTTTTAAAAGCTTAAAGTCGATAAGTACTAAAAATATTATTCGGAAAAAAATTATGGAGATATCTAACGAGGCTACAGGGCAGTTGATTAAAAAAAATCACGAACGGTATGAAAAAGAATTTGCTTTGGTTCAGGTTAACCAATGTACGCACAGGATAATAAAGTAGTTTCCATAAACAGTCCGCAAAGCTGCAACAAGTCAGTTTCAAAAATACTTAAATCTTAGTCTTAAAAGTAATTTCTAAAATCAAAATGATTTAAATGTCAATTTCAACATAAAATTTAAATGATTTAAATCTTAAGCCTTTGACATGACAAGTCTTGTATCATGACTTAAATCAAAATGACTTAAATCAAAATATTTTTCGTCAAATCAAGACAGCCAAAATTCAATTTGAGTAGGTACCAATTTTTTAATATTGATATAAATTTTCTTGTATTACCCATTGCCGATTTTGTTAGTACCTATATAATTCAGTTGTTGCAGGTACAAATGAGACTAAAACGACATAAAATAAAAGGGATGATTTTCAGAATAACTACAAACACAAATATATGTTTTTTTTATAAAATTTAACCGATTTTGTAGCACTTTATATTATGAATCCATTACAGATTAGATGTCATCGAACAGATGTCCATTAAAAAGTTATGATATGTTTTGACCACTATGTCATCATCATAATCATTGCCATTACTCGCTGACGAGTATTTGACACGCATTAGAAGATGATTACGCAAGGCGTTTTCTTTCATGAGCTTTTTTGTGACTGAAAAGCCGGATTTTAGAATTTAAAATTTAGAATGAGTGGGAGGGGGGTTAATCACTTCGCTCTTACAGATCCATTGTGTCCCCCTTTCTTGAATCATAACTCATCATACAGTCCCAGGGCTTTGACAAAAGCCAGTATCTGGGACAGTTTTATAGAGGGTAGTTCTCCATCTCCAATATCAGTCGTACCAAAATTCATGGCACGAATGGTTGTCGTCTAGGCGCACTCAGTGATGAGGTATACTGGTGTTTCCCCATCTTCCCCACAGAATCTGCATTCGCCGTTTCTTCTTAGTTTCAATCTACTGAGGTGTCCATTGAGGAGACAGTGTCCTGTTAAAAACCCCGTGACAATCCGAAGATTGTGCTTACTCAGACCCAGGAAGATCTGTGATTTTTCTTGATCATAAGCCCTCAGAAACTTCTTCGAGTGTCTTAGACCATTACAAGATTTCCATTCCAGGTTGCGGATGGAATCTTCCAAGTTCTTGAGTTCCGCCTTGAGTTGGTTCCCACTTGGAAAGCAGAACGGTTCTGGTCCAGTTAATAGTGGAGTGTTCGCTCCTTTCCTAAGCTAGATTATTTGCTTTTTCATTGCCTTCTATCCCTTGGTGAGCAGGCACCCAGTGTAGGAGGACTTTGTTTTCTTTGCCTAATTTATTCAGCTTCTCTATGCATTCCTTGACCAATCTCGAATTGATTGACACTGAGTTGATCGCCTTTAACGCTGCTTGACTATCAGATAAGATGGCTATTTCTTGTTTCCGATAGTTCCTATCTAAGATAAGTTGTACGCATCTCTCGATAGCGTAGATTTCTGCCTGTAGGATACTAGGGTAAGTGCCCATTGGTTCGGAGTAATTAGCTCTCGGCCCAAACACTCCGATCCCTGTTCCCGTATTGGTTTTGGAAGCATCAGTATACCAAGTTATGGTATGGTCTTTTAACTGTTGGGCAAGCGTTTCGCTCTTCCAATCCTTCTTATTGCTCAATACTACATTGACATGTTTGTCAAAGTTGTACGTTCTTTGACAAACATGTCAATGTAGTATTGAGCAATAAGAAGGATTGGAAGAGCTAAACGCTTGCCCAGCAGTTAAATCCTTCTTATTGCTCAAGAAAAGCCGGATACGTGATGTTATCTCTCTTCCGCACTCCGGATATTCAAAAATCTCATTGCTTTGTTGCATCTTTACTTTTTGATTGTCGTTAACTGAGTACACAACACCTCTCCACTGCGTTCTATTGTACGCTGCTTCCTCCCACTGATCCTGTATGCTTATCCCCTTTAAGTTTACGTGGAATACATCCATTGTATCATCATCACATCATTGTATCTTTTGAGTTGTCCACCCGGTTTTCTTTTACCGTCTACAAGCTCACCGTAAAGAAGAGATTTCGGTAGGCGGTTTTCTTGCATCCTGCATACGTGGCATCCTGCATACCAGGCCATCTTAAGCGGGATTTAGTAATCGTAACTTCGGCATTCTCGCAGCTAGCCTTTTCAAGGACCGATACGTTTGAGACATTGTGGTACTATTTGATTCTTAACAGTTGTCTAAGGTGTATCTGTTGCAAATTGTTTAATGCGTTCATATGTCGGCGGTACGGCACCCAGGTTTCGCTTCCATATAACATGGTAGGCATTATTATTACTCTGTGCACTGAAAGATTCG